CAACTTTGCAGCAGCTTCCAAGTCTTCCACTGAGCACTAACACCAATTAAAGGAACAAGAATTGCAGCAACAAGAAAAAAATAAATAAAAATAAATCAACCATTTCAAGTATTAAGAACAATGGGGGTGCTCACGAAGTGACCTTCCCCAATCGTACCCAAGTTCCCGAGCCGAGGCAACTTTGGTGATGACGGACACGCGGCCTTTTGGCACCGAGTTAGGGTTTCCTAAATTTCCCAAAATAAAATATTTAGGTGGCGACTCTGTATCTGGCAAAGCAGTCCATGTTTGGCACTTTTTCAAAAAATCAATTTCTCAAAACAAATTGCCGGATTTGGACTCTTTGGTTCAGATTGAGAACCGTGACATCTGAGAGTCCGAGCTGTAGTGACCCCAAATGAACAGAACGGGAGCTAACCCTCCCGGGGCGTTCGGGGACGTCTACACGCACGTTGTTGCGCATTTCAAGTTCACTTGCATTGTTATGCAATATACACGGTCTAGGAGACCCTAAATCCTCTGAAGGTGCAAGTCCTTCGGTGTTTGTCGTGCCCGAACGACTTTTGATAAGTTGCATTATACAAGTCTTCTATGGTTCCATTTTTGTTTTTCTTCAATTCAAAAGGTTTGTTTATTCTTTTTGCCTTTTTTTTCATATAATATTTACGTGTATCAAGATTGACCTTTACTCTCTTGTTTGTTGTTTCTATGTTTACCCCCTCCCTATTTGGTGAAGAAACATTGTCGTATTGTTGCGTATTTCATGGTTGAAGGGTCATTTCATTATCTTGTGTGGAGAATCCTCAGTTCACTAGGTTTAAGTTGTTATGTTTGAAAAAATTTCCTTCACAAATCCAAGACTTGCATTTCAATTCTCCTTCATTACATTGTAAAATTGATTTTTTTTTTTTTTGAAGGTATTCTATGGCTTAATATTGATTTCTTCTGTATTGTTATGCATGAGGTATTAAGATACACTGGCCCATGTTTGCAAACTATGTTTGATTTCCTCCAATTTGTTTTAATATCATTGAAAGTAGCTGATCATTGTGAACCACATGCCACTGCCACTATTTTTCCTAGATTACAAAAAAAGTGATTCATTAGGGCTCTAATGTGATGATGCTAAATTTTTGTAAAGAATTTTGCAAAGTATTTTGATGAAATGTTATGGCAACACTTGATAATCTAAATGTCATTGGAATTGTGCATCTATTTCTTTGACAATTGTGTAGGTTCTAATTAGAAATTTCATTATTTATTGTTTTATTTCATTTCTACGTACACATCCTATTGACTTTGGCAATTAGATTTTGTTACACTTGGAGGCCTTCATTATCAATTCTTCAATTGCTAGATTTTAAGAGTTCTATTAAAGCGATCTCGGGGTTTACCCTTGTTGTACAGTGATCCGGACATGTGTCCGTGGATGTTGGTAGTTGGTTACTATCGTGTTTACATTCCTTTTTCTTCATATTTGAGTTATAGGATGTGTCGGGCAGGTTTGTTACAGGTTGGTTGTGTTAGGGAGCCTAGTGTTGCTGCCCAGAATTTTGGACCTTCGCTCGAGTGAGGAGTTGGTCGCTCGAGCGAGAGTGGGGTTCGAGTATGGTGGGTCGAGCCAGAGTGGCTCGCTCGAGCGAGCGGTTGCACCTGGTTCTGGACCTGAGAGCTGTCTTTCTTGGCTCGAGCGAGCTTCCTTCGCTCGAGCGGTCTGGATTTTTCTTCGCTCGATCGAGAACTTCTTGGCTCGAGCGAGAGTTTTCTGTGTCTGGTCGCTCGAGCGACCTAGTCTTCGCTCGAGCGAGAGTGTTTTATATCAGCGCACAGCAGCGTCTAAAACATCACTTTTTCACCTCTTTTCTTTGATCTAACCCTTGATCCGAGCCTCTCTCTCTCTAAACTTGCACTGTCTCTAAGATTTGATCTCCCTAGAGTGTGAATCTAGCCTAGGGCATTTGTTAATCTCTCTAAACTTGTCTTCTCTCTAAGGTTTGATCTCTTTAGAGTGTGAATCTACCCTAGGGCATTTGTTAAAAAGATAGAGGGTGTTGAGAGCTTTGTTTTAATCTGAAAAAGTTGGGATTTGGAGCACGTTGGTTTTTGGTCTTCATCTCGGTCTGAGCTCAAACTTCGAGTTAGGGATATCCTACTCCTTTTTATGAGCTTTGTCTTTGAATTTTAGCATTTTGATATGTTGGGGGTTGTGTAATTCCGAGAAAGTTTGGGGGTCTTTTTTGTAATTTTCATAAAAAGAGGGGTTTTAACTAAATTGAACCCATGGATATTGTAGCATTGAAAATGGAAATTTTGTTATGAAATTGGTGGAAATGGGACCTTAGGGTCAGTGTTGAGAATTATGGGAAATTGCCCTAATTGGTTTAATAAATTAATTTGTATAATTAATTTGAGAAATGAGGAATTGAATTGGGAATGTATGGGATTAAAGGGTGTAGTTGGATCATTTATCGCTCACCTAGTTGAAATGTTGATTTATTATCCATTTGGTGCATTTTTTTTTCTGTTTAGAAATAACTGCTTTGGGCTATTGGTGGAGGATAGTCTTGATTGTTGTAGACAATGCATGATGATTAGGCAAACGAAAACTAATCAATGGAATGTGCCACTGAGTATGACGGCTGAATGAATACATTAAATGTTATGTATTGGTCGATGATGTGTATAATTATTGTTTATATGCATTGTGTTGTGCTGGAGGAGATAGGGGATGTACTCCACGGTTTAGGGGATGTACTCCACGGTTTAGGGGATGATAGGGGATGGACCTCTAAACCGGATGTTGTTTGGGAGAAGATAGGGGATGGACTCCATAGATAGAGCTCATATGCTTATCTAGTGATGTGTTGACATAGCACATATGCTTGTCTTTGGAAATGATGATATAGCTTGTATGCTTATCTGTTGGTGTGTGATATAGCTAGTATGCTTATCTATTATGAAATGGGAAAGTGTTTAATATGAGTTACTATCTCATATGAGTTGTTTGGCCAGGTTCTGAGCCAGGGTTATAAATTGAGAATTGACAGGAATTGGAAAATGGATTGTAACATGGAATTGTATGTCATAAAACTGTAAAGCGTGATAAGAGAAAGTATCGGTGTTGGCCATCTATCAAACTGCTAATCTTTTAGTCATTGTTCATATTTGGTTTAGTGTATTTCTACTGTTTACTTTTGATGTATTACATGTAACTTCAAGCAGGGCTTAATGTGTAAACGAGTTAGTACTCTTTTGTTGTAACCAAGTGTTAACTTGGAAAGCTGTAAGCCCGTAGGGCATTTTGTTATGATGTTAACATGTAATACTTATGTAATGGAACTCTAATGAATAAAAGAATGTGGTTAGTTTATATGTCAATGCATGTCTTATTTGATGGGTTTAATGTTATTATTTTGAGGGCGTTACAAGTGGCCCCTTTTTGGATTTTGCATTGGCCTGAAGCTGATGAGGTAGGGGGTTCGGTAGCAAAGGAGACGGAGTAGGAGCCAAGAAGACAGATGAAGACAGAGTCTAACTGGCCGTCTTAAGACGGGTTTCCTCGAAGAGGAGTTCACGAACAATAGCATCCACAGAGGGGAGAGGAGACCGATGAAGGATGCCACCACGGATAGCCTCATACTGAGGGGAGAAAGCCGTTAAGAATTGCACTAAACGACCTTGCTCCCGAAACTCAACATAAGCGTCAAGTGGCTTGAGACTAGATGGTTCCATGAGAGCCAGCTGATCCCAGAGGCCTGTCATCTCAATATAGAAGTCTTGAATAGACAGATCCCGCTAACGAGCTCCCTGAATAGCTGTTTCCAACTCATACTGTTTGGCAAAGTTGGACTGCTGATAAACACTTTGTAAGTAATCCCACACCTCTTTAGGAGTGCTATATTTAGAGAACATCATCCCGATCTGATCATCTACAGAGTTATGGAACCAGGTCAAAACTTGAGCATTATCACAATCCCAAATGTCACAGGAACTCAAATAGTCTTCTTCTTTGGGATCTGATGGACGAAGAACAGAACCAGAAACATATCCCCATTTTTTTCGACCGAGAAGAAAATTTCTCATAACACTAGACCAATAAGCATAGTTGTTGCTTGTAAGCTTACATTTAATAGCTTGGATTTTATCTTCCGACATTGTAATGAACCAGAAGTAAAGAAGAGAACTGATAGGGCAAAGTATAATAAATAAAAGAATGTTGGGTCAAACTGAAATAAGCCTAAAATAGGGTTTAATAACCCAAGTTGGTAACCAGAAGTACACCAATCTGTTAATCTGAGAACTAGAATCAGAGAAAGAATCGAACAAGGCTCTGAGTCACGATAAGGGCTGAGTGGAAGGAGAAGTGCCGAAGTCAAGGTTGAAAATCGCGACTTGAACTCGCGAACAGATGAGTTACGCCAGAGAGGGAGACGACTCAGAGAGGGAGACGACTTAAACTCGCGCACAGATGGGTCACGCCAGAGAAGGAGATGACTCAGAGAGGAAGACGACTTGGGCCAGAGCGAAGGACGACTTCATGACCACCAATCATGAAGCAATGAACCAGAATTCCGACGACAAGGGTTTTGGCAGACTGAATCAAAAACGGAGGTAGGGTTTTAGTAGCTCTGATACCATGTAAGATTTCTAGATGAATTGTATATACAACTTGTATCTTTGATTACAACCAAACCTTAGATTTACATAGCCCTAACTCCTAAACCAAACAGGAGAATACAATCAAGCCTCTAATAGAACTCTAATACAATCACGCCTCTAATAGGACTCTAAGAATCACAATATATTCACAATAACATGTCAACCATAATGGTTGCAGTGCATGCGTCCACAGGGATAGCTCTATCATCCATTACGTGAAGAAATTGCAATACTTTATGTGTTCTATTATTTAGTAGAAATCCTTGAACCAATATATTATACAAGTAAAAATCTGGAGAGCATCCTTCTTCTTCCATTTTCCCAAGTACTCACTGGCTTCATCAGGTAGCTTTCCTCGCATCATCAAGCTTCCCACCTAGGCATATACCCTCAATTAGGTTACTGTATATCACAATATTAGGAGCTAGTCCAGCGTTTTCAAGCTTTTCAAACAATGCTAATGCCTCATCAAGATGTTGGTTCTTGCATAGGCCATCCAAAAGAACAGAGTAAGTAAACAGATTAGGAATTTGGCCTTGAACTTGCATCTCATTAAAAAGCAAAAGTGCATCTCGAAGTCTTCTTGCCAAGCCACCAATAAGAGTGGTATGGGTAATAGTATCTGGAAGCAATCTTTTTCTAGACATTTCCTTAAAGAGACTCATGGCTTCATCTATGCTTTTGATCTTACAGTACCCATTAATCAAGATGTTGTAAGTGAAAAGACTAGGAGCACAACCCCTACTGACTATAACATCAAGCATTTTCCTTGCCTCATCTACTTGGCCACACAGACAGTGCCCATCCATTACAGCATTATAAGTGACAACATCAGGTACCACACCTCTTTGGATCATCAATTCAACCACATCTTGTGCTTCTTTGGCCTTTCCTTCTTTACAAAGTGCATCAACTAAAATGCTAAAAGTTTGAACATTTGGCCAGATATTCTTACCAACCATTTCATTCAACAATCTTGTAGTTTCTTCCCACTCACGTAAACTAGATACACCTTGAATTAATGACGTGTAAGTGACCGCATTTGGTGAAATAGCTTTACCTATCATTTCCGAAAAGAGCTTGAAAGCCTTGGTTACTAGTCCATCCTTGAAAAGGCTATCGATGACCGTGCTGTATTCCACTAGTCCAGGCTCACAACCTCCAATTTCTTCTATCTTTCTCAGCAAACGAATAGCAACACTAGTATTTCCAATTTTGCAGAGTCCATTTATTATAGTGTTGTAAGTAATAAAATTGGGTTGGAACCCTTTCTCCACAATTTCATCAAGAAACTTAACCGCCAAAGCGATCTTAGCATTTACACAAAGCCCGTTGATTAGGGTATTGAAGGTTGTGATGTTTGGTTCATAACCAAGTTTCAATAGATTCCCCAAAATAGAAAAACCCAAATCAACTCGATTCAACTTACAGAAACAATTAATCACAACGTTAAGTGTAAACTTATCAGGCTTGACGAACCCAGATTCTAACAAATTCATTTTCCTAAACAGAGAAATCACTGTGGAGTAATGCTTAGTTCTATGTTTCTTAAAATGGACTACACTGTCTCCAGTGTTTCATCTTACTGGACAGTGATTCAAATCCTTTACATTTATATCATTCTTATAAAATATTAAGTTGATTGAATAACGAAAAATATGTGTTCGAATGAATTTTGTATTAACTGTTTATTTTCTCACCATTTATTTTTTTTTATACAAATTTTTTCCGAATACGTGGTTACCGTTATCCGATCAATTTAATTTTTTACAAAGATATGTACTCGACATATCTTAAAATATAAATAATTTGAATAATTGAAATAAATCTCAATAGTGGGCCTACTAGACCGAATAACACCTTTCTAGTCCGATGAATGACTGGTTTGCCAAACTCTTTGGCAACTTTCTCTGGGATATGAACTTATAAGCTTATATTAGAATGCAATTAGAGAAGCAGCCTCGTATATACTAGACATTAAAGATACAAGCATCTTTTGATCTTTACTCACATATAGAAGCAATGAAAAAATAAGGGTAGAGTTATAATTCAAGCCAAAAATGTTGGCTTGTACATGCATAAAACCAGACTCACCTGGCTTACAGATTCATTATTACTGGGCTATTTTATCATAAAACTCATAGGATAGATTCTCAGATTTTCTGCTCTAATAGTTTTCAAAAAAGGACCAAATGCCTATGAAAAGTAAGGGGTTGTTTGGGATGATCTAAATAAGTGTACTTTTTGACTTTTTATGAAATATGAGTTGGGTTTGGGTTGGGTTTGAAGTGATGTGTTAGAGAGGTGATGTGACTTAAATAAAATAATGTGACTTAAATAGGATAGTGACTTTTTGACTTTTTATCTTTTTCAAGCATGCCAAACTTGACCTAAGAAAGAACTCAATTCAATTCAACAAAGCCTTGTCCCCATTTTTTGAGATCAACTAAATAATTCTTGTTTCAATTCTTTTTTCAAAAAGAACTGAATGTTAAAAGTCAAAAAAGAACGTGGAAAATTAAAATTTCATAGAAGGAATGGCAAACTATATTGAAATTATTACAACATAAGCAATATGTGTACTGGAAAAGAGCAAGGAAGAAAGAAAAAAAAAAAACTGATGCAATGCTACTTTAGATAATCTAAGAGTAGAAATAAGAACGAAGCAAAAATTGATGGCAAGAAAGACGAACATAAAATCACCATTCTACGTTATTATGAATCAACCTGGGATGACATACCTAAATCACCCACAAGAGAACCAGCTGGGCTATTTTGTTGTACTTTTGACTATATTTCAGGTCTGAACTCACCCAGAATGCAAGCAACCAGTGTCCACCTCAACATCCAATAATATGTTTCACTTATTAGGCCTGTTTTATGGTGTATATGCCTCCAATAAGTTAAGAGCTCTATAGAAGATGTTGTAAAAAGGCTTAGGAGTGTTTATTGGCTGCACTTCAAAAGCACTTGCATATCCTCTTGTATGTTCTATTTCACTAAAAAAGTGCCTTTAGGCGAGCCTCTACACATCAAAGTACTTTAAAGATGCAGCCAAACACAACCTAAAGCATTATTTCAAGGGAAAGAAAAATAATTCCAAGATAAACACACAGCAGTGCCAAATGGGGACCTAGTCTATCAGAAAAGTGAGTGAGGAAAGAAATGGAACAAGAGGGAACAAGAGATACAACCCAATCATTTCAGGGAGTGACTTATAGATGTTCTCAATTTGCTAACAAAATATGGAGTCATGGCAAAAAGATGTCAAAAATCTGAAAGAACCTGATATGAAGAGGGTAAGAAGGCCCTGAAACTAACAAAATCATAATTATAGGACATAATCTCACCTCGGCAATGGCATAAACACCAAATAGACCAGTGTCCTTATAGTTGGTGTTAAAGGCCATCATGTTTTCAGCAATCTCATTAATGCCAACCCTTTGTGCAAGCTCAGAACTGCTTACAAATTGTCAAAAACTAATTAATGCATGCGCTCACAGGTTATATCACAGGAAAATATCCAACTTAGTTATTAAAACCCCACAAATGATGTTCAAACAACTCACCCCATGTGCTTCCCACCACCTGCATTCTTGTTCCAAGATCCCAACATAGACTGCATGACCATCAAAGCAATGGAATCTGGATCCGTCCAAGAAGCCCCATTGAAAGCAACTGCAAATTGTGCCAAAGGTATATCATCATCAATTATCCTAACCTGATTTTCACATAACGAATGCCAATTAATAAATTTTTTAGAAAGACAAGATGGAAGAGAATGTTTAAATTAAACAAATCGTGAAATATTTATATGATATAAGCACGCCTCGGAACCTGTAAAAATTGCTGGTTCTTTAGCAAAAAATTCAGACGTTGTAGTTGGATCTGTTGACAACTTGGTAAACAATTTCTTTACTTGTTCAACTATAGCGATCCCGGGTTTACCCTTGTTATACAGTGATCCGGACATGTGTCCGTGGATGTTGGTAGTTGTTTACTATCTTGTTTACATCCTCTTTACTTTGTATATTGAGTTATAGGATGTGTTGGGAAGATTTGTTACAGGTTGGTTATGTTTGGGAGCCTAGTGCTGCTGCCCAGATTTTTGGACCTTCGCTCGAGCGAGGAGTTGGTCGCTCGAGCGAGAGTTGAGTTCATGTCCAGCTCCAGAAGTAGCAATTACCTAAAATAGAAGACCATGTTGGGGAATTTTCAAAATGGTTTTTAAAATTTATAGTTTAATTTTTGAGTGTTTTCAAAACTTTCCTTGTTTTTATTTGGAAAGCTTTAATTAAGCTTGGGGACTTTGTCCCACATTGGAAAGAAAGCAAAACATGGAGAAATTAATAAAGTGTTACATGAAATATTCTTTTGAATATGGAATTATGGGATGAAAGCTAGTGTACATGCACCCACACCGCAAGGATGGTGCACCATCTGCACACTCACACTCACTCACACACTTATTTTTTGTAATATAAATTTGATTGAAACATATAACTATCGATATCTGATTATTTTAATTTTTTGCATAAATATTCTAGTCAATGAATCCTAAAAAATAAATGGTTCAGATCATCCAAGTCAACCTTAAAATGAACCTATCAAATTTAAATACTTTTTGAAGATAAAACATAGGCCAGTATTAAAATGAATCTACCAAACTTCAATACTTTTTCAAAATAAGATGACGAGTATAAAAGAAACTCAACCCAATTAGTTAATTATACTGTGTTTGGTTGGGGGATTTGAGGAGGGATTTGAAAAGGGAAATGGAAAAGGTAGGTGAAATGTGAATAAAACATACCTATATTTTACCTAGTTTTTCACACACCTTTTCGCTTTCCCTTTCCAAGTCCCTTCCCAAATCCCCCAACCAAACACAGCATTAGAGTACACCAAGTCATTTCTTCGTCTCCAAGGCTGTTTTCTGGGTTAGACCACTCAAAATGTCTAGGTTCATCAAAAGTATCAAAATCACCATTGTTCTCAGTCAATCCCTATGAAAATTGCCCCAACAACGTGTGGATCCTCAACTTTGGCCGTGTCATGCATGTACGTAAATAATAATTCCCATATAGTCGTCACTTTCGCTTGACTCTCCTTATGACTAGGGGTATAAAAATCGTCCGACGGATCAAAGTTTGCTCGAGATTCAGATTGATTGGCTTGGTTTACAGCTCGGCCTACAGGCCCAATCAAAGCTCGATTTGTGGTTCATCTCGCTCCCATATCATTTGCAAGCTATTTTGATAAAAATAAATAAATATAAAGTTTGCTCTAAGCTCTGGTGGAAGCTCAAGGTTAACCTAAGGCTCAGCTCGTTCGAGGCCTGATTATCCTTTGAGCCTTGACCTGCCTTTTAGGAACTGGGTCAGCCCGATCCGATTTTTTCTAGGACCCAGTAGGTCCGATCCCAAGCCCGTACGAATTGTGTCATACCGAATTTACACCCCTACTTATGGGGTGAGTCTCTTGATTATCATTTTGTTGTATGGATTAATTTAGGAAAAACTATAAATCATCCCTACTTTTCTAAAATAATTACAAAATGATAGAAAAATTTATGACTTTAATCATTAAAGTTTGTAAAGTTTATCATTAATCTAAATTTTTTTTCTTTCTAAAAATCCACTAATTTTTTATTTTCCCATTAATTTACCATGTCAGTAATGCTACACTAATAACCACTTTAATATTTGGATGTCCAAGTCAGTTTACGTGTATACGATTAATTCCGAACCCTTAAAAGTAACGACCGAACATACTTCTAGTGACCGCCTCTTGGGATAACGTGAACTCAAGATTTTAATTCTTATTCTGAAATTTTACTCTTACCATACACATGATCATATCATCTGAAACAACATGTCATCTGAAACAACATTTCTTTTATTTATCTTTAATTGATACTATTTTTATTTATTTATTTATTTTTATTGCTAATGGATGGATTATTATCATCTTATCTCTATCTATCTTAACATCCCATTTCAATTATACTTATTGTTTGAATATACATATTCTTTTTCTTTTTTAGTATTAAAATAGTTCAGAAGTTAAAGTCTTGGCACTACAACAAAAAACACATTTGGCGACCCAAAAATTTGTCGCCAAAAGTACAAATTCCGTCGCCAAAAGAATCGGCAACAAATATACAACTTGTCGCCAAAGGCCTGTCACTAAAAGTATTGGCGACGAAATCAGAAATTGTCACCGTATGTAGACATTTAGCGACAAGCAAAATTGGTCGCCAAAAATCATATATTTTGTCGCTATAAAATTACAATTTGTTGCTAAAAGGTTAAAATTTGGATAGGCTATGTACTTTTAGCGACAAATAAATGCGTCGCCAAAAGTACTATTTAACGACAAAATTAATTTGGTCGCTAAAAATCACGTTTTTAGTGACGAGTAAGTTTTGGTTGCTAAAGGTTCCTGGAATAATCACCAACTTTTAGCGACAAAAACAATATGTTGTCGCCAAATATATTAA